AGCATTAAGTACTGCTCCTCCTTTCTGAAAAGCTGTTTTCTGGCCATGGGGGAGGAAGCTCCACGATGTAGGCAGCTTCTCCCACACCTCCCACCAAGACCTGTCTGCCTGAGCAGGGTGAGGGGTCCCTGCAGGGGTCAGGCCGCACAGAGCTGTCGGTGCGCTGAAGGGCAGCTGCCCTGGGCCCTTCTGCTTTGCCTGGTGTCTCATGCCTGTGCAGTGGTTTGGTGTCTGCTCACTGCCTGGGTGTAGATGAAGCGTCTGATGAATGGCGGAACAAGGAGAAGCAAAGAGCATCCCCCCCGTCAGCCAACTGCATCCTCTGCTGGGTTTAAGGATGTAGGAGTAGAGAGGGGGAGGATGTTACTAATCCCGAGCGGAGCCACTGCACAAACAAGCGTTACTTGCACGCAGCCCTCAGTGCCCAGTGACCACTGTGGGCAGGAGCTGACTTCCCTCAAGGTGGCTGCCTTGAGAAGGTGGCATTACCTTCACATCAAGCCCGCACTCTGTGCCACCAAACGTTGCCAAGGATGAGCCACGTGCTGTGAGTTCGTTCCCTTGCTCCATTGACCAGTCACGGAGAGCGTGCCCAGCTACCCGCTCAGTACCTTGGGTGCGATGCTCACCTCCGTGGGGTTCTGCCTGTCAAACAGCCTGTCCCAGCCCCTTTGAATTTCAGCAGCCTGCTCCTCTTCTGTTTGGGTGTATTGCAGTTGTGTCTGGTGGCGAGTGAGCCTATCCATCACCGTATCCACACAGATCCCAATTACTCCTTTTGACAACCCTTATTCACAAACCTCCTTGTGTCTCTGACATCTCAATTATTGATGGGGCTCGCCTGGTAGGCAGCGCTCTGTTCTCTGCGTGGCTACGTTCCAGCTCCCTTTCCCATTGAGTTCACGCACGCACCGTGCCGAGCGTTTCTTTATGTGCAAAGCTATTGAAGTGGAAAGGGATCTTTATTAGCGTGTGAGCTCCAGGGCTACGCAACCGAAGGGGGCAGTGCAAGCCAAATCGCATCGCGGTAAGGCGCTGGGAAATTTCCTCTCCCTCTCCTCTCCTAGTGAAGCCCAGCAGTGTCTTGTAGAATGAAATCTCTCATATGTTTCATGGGGAAGATCCCTTGATCTGATGAGCCTTCCTTGTGATGGGGTCATCCCACACTTGTATTTCTATTAAGAATCCTCAGGCCCCCATTGCCCCTGCAGGCATAAAATCCAGTATTTTGAAGTGCAGTGTCCTTTCCTTTGTCTTGGTATTAGTTTGTTTGCTGGCTTTACAGTAAGCCTTTGAGTTCTGACAAGGGCCATTGACATGCAAAAAAGGAGGTTTCAAAGCAGCATGCGGTGTTGGAGCAATGTTGTCAAATTGGTTAAGAGTAAAGCGGTGCCAGAGGGATGATTGCAAAAGCCGGCTTGTTTTGTAGTGCCTGGTGTATCTGGGAGGCTCTGGGTGTCTCGTGACATCGCTGTAGCAGGAGGAATGATAAAGTGGTCAATCAGCTCCTGACATCTCTCCTGCCCCTGACCTTGCCCTGCAACCCTCTCCAGTTCAGAAGTAATCAGAGGTTTTGTGTTTAGTGAACGAGGGCAAAAGGAAAGGGTGACTGCTGGTAAAGATGGGACCAGAGAGAAGCAGCAGTGTAAGATGTGCAGAGAGCTGGGAACGGACACTTGAGTTTTGTTCTTGGAGATCTGTGGCAGCAGGTGCCTCATAAATTAGCTTTAGCATGAGAGGAGAAATCCATGGAGCAGACCTTCCAAAGCAGGGAGGTGCTGGTGAGCGTCAGTGCCTTTGCAGCTGAGCACGGCTGTGCAGAGGGGGCACCTGACTGGGGGTGGTCAGTGGAGCACTCCTGGGGCTCCAACGGCAGAGAGAATCGACTACCTGGTACTGAGTAACTGTCAACAACCTTTTCAAGCGTAGGACGAAGCCATCTCTGCATGCCAGTTTGCCTCCTGGTGGCACTCAACTAGTCCTTCTCTACCTGCCTTACCTGCTCTCTTTCTGCCCTGTGGTGAGTTTGGCCTGGGGGCTCCCTGCGGAGACCAAATGCCACCAAATGAGCAAGGGCAGCTGGAGAGTTGCTGGTGGCCACACAGCCAGAGTCTGGCTGTTCATTTGGGGTCTGTAAGGACTCCTGGCCTCGGTCACGATCACAGGTCTCCTCTTCCCCCTCCTGGCTGGCCATGACAGTGCATCAGCAGGGCAGATCTGCAGAAGAGCAGCGGTTTGGGCATCAGTGACAGCATGGCTGCCTTGAGCTATGGCTGCTGGGACAAACCTTTAGTTACACGTGTCTCCGTGTGACAGCCTGATCCTACATTCCTCTGGGTGGAGTCCTCTTGTCACTGTGAGTGACAGCAACATCCTCTTGCCTGACAGTGTTGCCCCAGATAGTCAAGCCATGTATTGTCCCTCTTACAGAGGCCTTGCTGGTGCTGGCGGGTAGCAGATATGGCTGGACCTGCCAAGCAGGGTGTGTTTTATTTGTCTGGAATACCACAAGCAGACAAAGAAGGGTTAAAATAACAGAAAGCTGAAAACCCATTATCTTTGGGAATTGTGATCTTTCCTTTTTGGGTAGGCGGGTTCCATGGGATCCCATGCCCCCCCAGATAGTGGAAAGGTCACCCTCCCATACCTGATTGCCCCGCAGCATTCCCTGGTAGCCTGTCCAAACAAGGCTGTTTTACTTCCCAGCCCTTTTCCTTCCTTCCCTTCCCCTGGACTTGTCTCCTTGCACGGAGCTGGCTCCAGCTCCAAGCGGTGCTGGGAGCCCGGAGCCCAGAGCCCAGGTGAGCTGTAAGCAGAGATGCTCAGTTACTGCAAACCCACAGCCCACTTAAAGCGTCAGGCAGTCCTGAGTTTGTCCCAATCAGAATTATTGCTGAAAGTATCCAAAGCCACACTTTTGCCCGATTTTGCACTTTCTTTTGTATTTATTCTTTAGTGATTCTGCAGAGTGGTGCCCATTCCTCAAAGCACAGGACCAAGTAGAGCTGTGCCCGAGATAACCACTGTCCCTTGCACCTCAGAGGTGCTTCCTGATACTCTAGCAGGAAAGCTTTGGAAAACCTGGCACAGAAAAAAATGGCTTTGGGCAGTTCCCAGTTCCTCTCTCAGTTCCCCAAGCCAGAGCAGCTCACTTGGGAGGACTCTGGTTATGGACCACGTATGGCCAGCAAGGTAATTGCTGGTCTCCCTTAAGGAGGTTGCTTGTTTCATGTTGTTCTACTCCCGGGATGTAGCTGCCATGTGCCATCGCAGCATCTCGAAGAGGCTGGAGCCACAGCCTGGCTCTGTGGATCTCGGTCAGAGGAGGCACCCCTAGCTAGCCCTGATAGTCCTGCCTTAGATGCCGGTCTTCAAAATGGATCTAAGTAATCTGCTAAGCTGTAGTAAAATCAGAGCTTGAAGGAAGAGAGAGTTGTGGAGGACGTAAGAGCTTGCCATCCAGACAGCGGTATGAATCATGAGATACGTACCCCAGACACATGCAAAGCGCAGACACACGTGTTATATGCTGTTGCAGGAGAATGTCTTAGAGTTAGGGGCATAGCAGTCAAGGGAGATCAGCTGGATTTGGCCTCAGCCTGGTTACTTGGTTTTTAACTCAGTATCCAAGATGCTAATTTTTTTGTTGATTTCATGGTATGTAGTTTTATTTGGGTCAGTGAGAGCACAGCGTATGACTTTGCTACCCTTTAGGGAAGGGAAAATCAGTGCTCTACCTAATGATTCAGCACACAGGGTTTCTTAACAGCCTATGGGAGAAAGGTGTTTTAATTCTGCGTTCGTTCCTGAATAAGCCGTTAATTTGGAGTTAGCAATTTCCTTGGAGCCTGGAGGAGAGGAATCTGTGATCAAATGAGTGGCTCAACACTGCTTTTGCCTCCTTTCCCTTTTCAGAAAGGTCAGGCTCATCATAACAAATCTCCTTCGACTTCTAGCCCTTGCGATGGTCTTCCCAGACTGTTTCAAGACTCCTTCACGAGTCAGCAGTGGTAACAGCCCTGCTATTGGTAATCTCTGTGACCCAAAAAAAGCCAAAGCACTCAGACCATAAGGACCACAGCTACCTCTGAAGGATGCTGCCCCTCTTATCCAGTCTTGCTGGCTCCTGATCAGGTGCTGCAGCCCTTTTGCAGGGCAGAGGGGCTGCACCTTGTGGCTGTGGGAGCTGGTGGGACACTGGTCTGGGTGCCAGCAGCCTTCTCTGGGAGACGAGGGGCTGCTCAGATGTGCAGGGCTGTTGCAGGACTCAGCCTCGTGCTGTTTTCTAAGCAGTTCAGTGTATAAAGTCACTGAAGATGTTTTCAGCAAAGGAAAGTCTCCCCACAGAACTGTTCTGTTCCTTGTTGAAAGAGCATTAATTTTTCCCCCTTAAATAAAATGAGCCGTGTTTGAAAGCTGAAAGCCCTTGCCGAGTGCCTTCTTGGAGCTGCAAAGAAAGCAGTTTCCAGGTCACATCATAGCCTCCTGCCGGACACGGGTCCAAACTGCAAACCCTTCTAACAGCTCTTTAATAACTCTGCACTGAAGGAAAAATCTGTCACCTTTCCCTCTGTGGTTTCTCCTCTGTTCTAACACACTGGAGAAACAAGATGGAACTGGGAAAGTTTTCAGAGAAAGACTCGTGGGAACTGCAGCTGCCGATGGAGGAGGCTCATTTCTTTAGTGTCTGAGGGGAACCGCAGTCGCTTTGGTGAAGGGTGGTGTGTGTGGGTGGGTTTGGAGGGGTGAACCATTATGACCCATGCATTTCAGAAGAACCACAAACACTTTAGAGTAACAAAGGGTGGAAAAAGCGAGAGGTTTCTGCAACGCATGTGACTTTTCCCTGAGGTTTGGAACCCTGCGGTATGTTCCAGGCCACAGTGTTTGCGTGTCAGCCTTAGTGAGTTAAGCTTTCTCCCACAAGCCTTGCTTGAAGTTGCTGTGATGACCAAGAGCCTAAAATGTTCCTTTTCTTCCTCCCTCCCCTCTCTTTGCAGCTGAAGCTCTCGTTTACCTTGGACCAGGAGAGTGGGATGCCTCAAGGCTGTTATATCTATCAGTACCGGGACAGCAACAAGTAAGTCCCGCTGAAGATTGCATGCAGTAGATAGAGGAAAGTGCATTGAAAGGAGACTGCCCTGCCTTCTGGCAGAGGGATCGCAACTGCTTGTACCACTTAAAAGTAGATTAAAGCAAGCTTCAGGCTTGACCTGAAACAGGGAGCAGCTCCTGTAAAGGCCAGATCCTTTAAAATGCATGAGGCCCTGCAGCCTTCATTTTTTTCTGCAGCATTTAGAAGCTGCTTTTATTTGGCTAAAAGGCCAGTTCTTGGGTATCTTGGGCTCTGACAGAACTCACCCAGACTTTGCCTGAGGTTGTTTGCAACTCAGACCCTGTGTGACTCTGGAAGCATGGGCTGGGAGTCAGAATCCAAAGGCTGCAAGTGCTGAAGAGGGCAGCCCTCACCAATGCTCAGCTAGAGACACATGGTACCCCATTCTCTCTGCTGAAGCTCATGCATAGGTTCACTGAGTGACCTCTTATTTGTGCTACTGGAGCCCCAGTGCAGCCACGTGCTCTGTTTTTGTAAGGTACCTGACGATATTCAAGCTTGGGATGTGTTTGGAGCACAGAGTCCTCAATTTCTAAGTATTCTGCCTATTTTTACTAGCTGCTGTACTGAATTGGCCCCCAAGTTGTTTTTATTTCAAATCACATTCTCATTATCAAATTGACAGCAGCAGCACAGTTCGGGATATTTCTTTGTTTGTGCTGAGTTACTTTGCCTGAACACCAGCATGTCATAAATCCATAGCCTGTTACCTCCACCCATATAGTTCTGCTTCTTGCCAGTTATTGAAAGTTAACTTAAAAAAGGAGGATATATGAAGTTGTCAATGAACAGAACAGCCTGTAATTAGATCTGCTTTGAAACGCTGATGAGAACAGTCCCAACAAGGAAGAGGGATGTCTGCCAACAGCACCTACCCCTTCGTGAGCTGAGACATTTCAGTGTTTAAACAAGGAAGGAGATTGTTTCTGGGAAGAATCCTTCCCACCTGTGGATGGGAGATTAGCACGTGGTACACGGTCCCATCCCAACTGTCCTGGCCCCAGAGACGTGGATGAGCAGAGCATGTACCTCCAGCACCACCAAGCTAACAGGGGAACATGTAGTTCAGTGCCAGAGCATAAAATCAAC